CTTGGCATCTGGAGCGCCCTGGTCCCGCAGTGTTGGATTAGCGCCGGCAGCCTGGCCATGTTGCTCTCGCGCCAGCACAGCGGCGGCACTAGCTTTACGATTTGGTAAGCCGTCATCTCCCTAGCCTGCCTGCCTGCCCGACTAACTGACTTTCCCCCACCTGCAGGTTTCTCAGGGCGCTCGGCTCGGCGGCCGGCATGTTCGGGTTCGAGGCGCTGCTGTGGTGGTACTGGCCGGAGCAGCACGGCTTCTTCACCAACCACTTCCACCTGTTCCTGTCCAGCATCTACCTAGGCTCCGACCTCATCTACCCGTTCGTGCTGTACCGGGTCATGCAGACCGAGGTGATCCTGCCCGACGGCAGACACATCAGCGCCGAGCACCATCGCATCGAGCAGGCGCTGGCCATGGCGGCGACGGCGGGGGCGGGGCAGGTCAAGGGCGGCTTTGTTGTGGATAGGAAGGGCCAGTGAGAGGGGAAGAAGGGGAGAGCTAGCTGAGCTGTGGTGAGACACGTGGGCGGGATGTCGTCACTGCACTGCGGGATATGACGTTTCTAATGCATTATGTCGTGTCCTGGTTGGCTGGAGGAGCCACGGGCATAGGGTTTGTGGGAAGCGGGCTGGAAAGAAATGTGTCGGATAATTACGCGAGAAGTCGAAAGATGATGCCAGACATAATTGTAATGCATTTGTTCCTATTCGGGAAAAGCTGCACTTTTAATAAGTTTCGGCTTTTTTTTTTTTTTTTTTTTTTTTTACCTGCGCAGACAGATAGAGATAGATCTCTGCTCTTGTCCGATGCCAAGTCGGTGCGGAAGATGCCCGGTTTGGGAAGAAATGATCGGGCCAATCATGACGGAGCGGCGCAAGCTCGGACGCACACCACAATGACCTCACCACTCTGCAAAGCTTGGTGGCATTGGCTGGCTTGGTTCATTGCCAAGGGCGTTGGCACCCTCGTTCGCGTTGCTCCGCACAACCCTCTGCCCACTTAGTGGACGCGGCGCCAAAAGTCTATAATGCCGCAGAGTTGCAGGGTACGTGGAGCCGTATCGTTGATGCGAGATAAAGTCGGCTGGTTTCGGGTGTGCTCAGACGCGATCCTGATACAAATGGAACACGGGGTGCTTGTTAAGAATTGCTGGCTGCTGGCTGCTGGTTGAAAGGGTCGACTGAATGAGCGGAGTGAGCGACTTGGGAGGGAATTCTGCTTTCTGCAATGGATGCATTTGTTGGCCTGACCAAGAATTCGGGACTGGCTGAGGGCAATGCTGAAGACAATCAGAGGAAAAAAGAAAGCACTGCCACTAAAATTCAGGCACCATGGCGTTTTAGCCTTCCTCCATTATCGAATGGCACGCCTCCGTTTGGCCCCGTGGTGTGGTTGGAGTGGGGCGCGCCTGCCGGCCAGCCCATTGAGCGGCGTCGCCTTATCGCAGGGGCAAGCTGGCGGCCTGTGGACGCGGCACGGCAAAACCTGCAGCGAGCTGGCGCCGTGCGTCGCCGTCTTCAGTCAGACTCGCCCAGGTGGCCTTGTCCTCCCCTTTTTGCTCGCCATCCACTGTGGCGCCTTCATCTCCTCACCAGAATCGACATCTCTTTTTCCTTCTTTCGCGAGACCCGCACTTGTTTCGTCTTGGCAGCACGAGGCCTCTGTACTGTGGTTGTAAGCCGTAAACGCTTCTGGCTTGTTCTTTGCCCTTCTCGCGTCGACCTTCCCGCGACCGTCCCTGTCCTTCGACAACGCCCTCGCCCAACGCCAACCCGCCAGATCCGATAAAGATGCCCTGCCATCAGTGCGCCTAACGCCTGCCTGCCTGGCCAGACCACCACCTGACTCTGACATCCCGATCGAGCACGGGGACTCCCTTTTAAATCGCTGTCTTGCTTCGCGCCACCAACGCCTCGTGCCAGAAATCTTGGGACGCCAACCCGACCGACCCTCTTTTCCTCTTTCCCATCATCTCCAAAAAGGGCCACGGTGCCTTTTCTCATTCCTTGCTGCTTGCATCCGACCACCACGTCCCGCCGCACATGGCATCGTATTTCTCGTCCCCGGCGTCGTTCCGGGCGAACAACATGGAAGAGCTGGCGCCCCAGCTGATGGCTCAGTCGCCATTCAACATCTTCAAGAAGAAGCCGGTGCACGATGCGCACCCAGACCTCCCCCATCTCGCCCTGCTCGTGTTTAGCGCCGTCATGGAGGTTGTCTGCGTCAGCCTGCCGGGCTACATCATCGCCCGCCTCGGCCACTTCGACGCCGACAAGCAAAAGTTCCTCGCCAACCTCAACGTCATGCTCTTCACGCCCTGTCTGATCTTCACCAAGCTGGCCTCGCAGCTCAATGCCGACAAGCTCTCGGAGCTTGCCATCATCCCCGTCATTTTCGTCATCCAGACCTTCGTGTCCTACCTCATCTCGGTCGCCGTGACAAGGTGCTTCGGATTCGGCAAGCGCGCCTCCAACTTTGTGACGGCCATGGGAGTACGTCACCGGGACACACCAGCGCCCTCTCTCCGTGTCCCCGTACGACTTGTATGAAACATGCTGATGGATTCTGTGCTTCCTCCAGGTCTTCGGCAATTCGAATTCGCTCCCCATCTCGCTCGTCATCTCGCTCTCACAAACGATCAAGGGTCTCCACTGGGATAGGATTAAGGGAGACAACGACGATGAGGTGGCGGCGCGTGGAATCCTGTATCTGCTCGTCTTCCAGCAGCTGGGCCAGATGGTTCGCTGGAGCTGGGGTTACCACGTCCTCCTCGCGCCCAAGGACAAGTACGAAGAGTACAACGACGAGCAGATCGAGGAAGGCCGGCAGCGCGACGCCAACGGCCACGGTGAGACGCGGGCCCTCCTTGCCGACAGCATCGAGGGTGTCGATCCGCGCGGCTTCGACTCCGATGACTACGACGACGAGGGAACCGCGCGCTCCGACTCGGAGGGCTACGAGCCCGCCGGCCGTACACCTGTCGCCACTGGCAACCATTCGCGTGCCTCGCCTGCCGACTCCGAAGATGAGGGCGAGGACTCCGGCCTGGAGAACGGAAACGGTGGCCGCCCGTCAAACGGAGTCAAGGCTCGCAAGCACTCGCGTTACTCCAAGCCGGCGAACCCTGCAGGTCTCGCACCGCCACTGCAGCAGCACTACGACAGGCTCCCGGACGCCGGCGAGCACATACTGTCGTTCCCGCGCATCCGTAACAGCGATGAGCCGGAGCCGCCGAGCGGTGTCAAGGGCATGCGGGAGCGGGTGGGTCAGCTCCAACAACGCACCCGGGACGCGGCCTCGAGCTTCGCACGCCGCCAGTTCGCGCGCCTCCCGGTGCCAGTGCAACGCGGCTGCTTCATGCTCTCACGGGCTGCCCGCAAGGTGTACGGGTTCCTGTGGGAGTTTATGAACCCGCCGCTGTGGGCGATGCTGATGGCCATAGTGGTGGCGTCGGTGCCTGACCTGCAGCGCCTCTTCTTCCAGGAGGGATCCTTCATCCGCAACAGCGTGACGAGCGCCGTGTCGTCGAGCGCCGGCGTGGCTGTGCCTCTGATACTGGTCGTGCTCGGCGCCAACCTGGCCCGCAACACGCAGAACCACGACGTGGTGGACCCGGAGGAGAAGGCTATCGGGACGCGGCTGCTGGTGGCGTCACTGGTGTGCCGCATGCTGCTGCCAACGCTGGTCATGGCGCCCATCCTGGCCTTCTTTGCTAAATACGTGCCCATCAGCATCCTCGACGACCCCATCTTTGTCATTGTGTGCTTCCTGCTGACGGGGGCCCCGTCGGCGCTGCAGCTGGCGCAGATCTGCCAGATCAACAACGTGTTTGAGGGCGTCATGGGCAAAATCTTGTTCCAGAGCTACGTCGTCTGGATCCTGCCCAGCACTCTGGTGCTCGTCATGGCCGCGCTCGAGGTTGTTGAGTGGGCCAGGTGAGATGAGGACTCGTCAGCGGCGACCTGTGTACTCTGGCTTCTTTCTTTTGTTAACATGAATATCATTCTTTCCTGGTGTCTGCCTTTTATGGTTTCTATTAGGAGCGAACAACATTGTTTCGTATTCAACTTATCTATTCATAGCCTGTGTTTTTGCAATGGTGGAGACGAGATTGTCGTCTGCATGGGCAGGGTCTTATGGGTAGATCAAGAATGGTAAGCCCTGGCCCAGGCCTGGAGTCTGAACGTTGGTGTTCATCTTATTTTTCTTGGGGTTTTATCAGCCCAATCCCATCGTTTCCTGACAGGGACAAAAGAGGTCGGTCCGGTTTGGGACGGGAATTAGGCATCGCACAGGTGGTGTTTGTTTTTGGCCTCGCGGTCGATATCGGGCGGTGTAGGTCAGGCGGAGGAGTTAAAAATAAAAAAGGGCCACCCCAAGAAAGTGTGTGTGTGAGGAACAGACAGCGGAATATATATGCCTGCATTAGCAAATTGCCCGTCAGCCGCTCGGCCCGCAGATGGGACCCCGTGATGCTCGGCGCCTCCATGTAGACGACTGGCACCATGCTCGTTTGGGCATCCCCTGCACACGATGCCCTCTTTGGTAAAAACATATGTGACAAGTTTAGGTAGGTAGAGAGACACACACAAAGAGGTTTCAGACGGCTCGAGGCGAGATCTGATGCCCGATGCGATCTGGACCACAGATAGCGAGACATTGGTAGACGCCACCGAGACAGGCGTTGCTCGTGTGGCAGGCCACTGTGAACCCACGAGACTGGTGCCCACCCCCCGCATTCTCACCCTCGTTCACCTCGCGGGGCTGCTGTGGGCCTGGACGGCGTGGATCGGACATGGGGTGAATGAGGCTGTAGTTTTTGGACGCGATGTTCCGGGGAAGACGGCGGTCGTCGTTATAGGTGTCGACACGAGCCCAGGGTCAACTTGCTAACACGGCGACGACAGAGGGGATAGCAGTATTGCTTAGGGTGCTCCCGTCTTGGCTACTCTATCATGGAAAAGCATGTCAGGCAGAGTACGAAAGGCCGGCTTGTATTGAAACCAGCTCGCTTAGCTCAGTTGGTTAGAGCGTCGTACTAACAATGCGAAGGTCGCCAGTTCGACCCTGGTAAGTGAACATTATAAGGTCTCAGCAGTCCGGTTCAAGCCCGGCTCTTTCTTTCTTTCCTTTTTTCTTTTTCTTCAGCTTTAAGCTGGATGTATTATCTTTTGCCTTTCTCGTTTCGGGTTCCCTGTTGCAACATTGCCCAAGGTTCTCTACCGGCCAACGCTTATTCATGGCGCCTTAACGCGAACTCGGTTACGCTGTGTAGGGGATCCTCCGAGCGGATGGCCTTGCTGGAATAAAAATTACCATTTTTGGCTTTGATAGGCAGAACAAAGACCGGTTGTCCGGAAGCATTCTTTTGTTGGCCACACAAAGCAGCAGTCATTCATCTTCCCTAGCCCCTAGTAATGGACTTTCACAATGGATTCCCGCCCTCAATCCCGCATTCACTTCTCTACCCGGCCATATAAAGCCCGCCAGTCCACCTCATTGTCCGCAAGCGGATAATGATAGCCCCTGGGCCAGCGCAGTGTTACACTATCGGCGAGCAGCCCAGCCTCCGTCTGCCCTTGTAAAACGGAGAACATCGCTTCAAGTTTTCCGCACCAATCTGCAGTTCGATTCCGCAAAGAGGGCAACGATGGCTAAGTCGTCATCACTGGTTAGAGTCGCCGAGGAGCAGGTCTCTAAGGCCCGCATGGAGGAGGAGAAGGCCACGGTGGTGTTAGAGTTCCCCAAGCTCCAGCCGTACCGCTTCCCCTCGTTCCGGTCCGGCAGCGGCCACCCCAGCGGACTGTCTGCCCTCTGCGCGGAGCAGCGGAGGCAGCTCGAGGACTTGTTCGACTGGTTACCACCGGCGCCAGCGCCGGCTGACGACAACGACGCGTCTTTGTCCAACACCAAGGTAAGCATGTTCTGGCGGTGGCAGAGATGCACGAAAGCCGGCAGCAGCAGCAGCAGCAGCAGCAGCAGCAGCAGCAGCAGCAGCACAGATAACACGCCGCCGACGACGCCGGGAAAGACAGCCGTGGCGGTCGAGGAAAAGATGATGGATATCCCGCACCACGAGACGTTTCCGGGGCTGTGGCAGCACCGACGCCGCACCAGCAGCACGGGGTCGGGCGGACACATCCGGAGCCTGCTGGACCAGTGCCCGGCCGAGACGTTTGCGGGCCTCTGCAGGGAGGAGGAGGCGGCGGAAGAAGAGCAGGACGGAGGAGGCGGCAGCAGGCCAGCGGGCTGGACGTGCTGCAACTGCCATGTGACAGTATCTGATATGGAGTGGACGTGCTGGCACTGCAGGTTCCACACGCGATGCAAGGAGTGCGGGTAGATATGGGAATCTGGATACGTGGTTACAAGGGTGAGCATGGAATTAGACGGACACCCAAGGATTAGCAGAGAAATACAAATTGCGTTACGTCGTCTTGTAGCATTTTATACGCTTTGGTTTAAGCAGGATCAGCCAAGCCCAAGCCCCGAGGAACCAGCTCGTCCAGCTCGTCGAGCCCCTTGAACCCGTCCTCGACCACCCACGACCTGCCCCTCTCGGGCGCGTGCAGCACCTCGCACGCCC